ACAATGGGGACACACGGGGGGGGGGGGAGACACCACGATGTCACCCAGATGTCCTTATGGGGTGGGACCCCCACGTCCCCAGTGCCACCCGGATGTCCCACATGGGATCCTGGTGTCACCAGTGCCACCCAGATGCCCATATAGGATGGGACCGAGATGTCCCCAATGCCATCAGGATGTCCTAAATGGGATCCTTGTATCCCCAGTGTCACCCAGATGTCCCCATGGGACCCAGACGTCCCCAGTGTCACCCAGGTGCCCATATGGGATGGGACCCCTACATCCCCAATGCCACCCACATGTCCTAAATGGGATCCCTGTGTCCCAATGTCATCCAGATGTCCCCGTGGGATGGCATCGAGGTGTCACCCAGATGTCCCTATGGCACCCAGATGTCCCTATGGCACCCAGATGTCCCCAGTGTCACCCTGATGCCCATATAGGATAGGACCCAGATGTGCCCAAGGATGGGTCCCCTCTGTGTTACCCAGATGTCCTCAATGTCACTCAGATGTCCCCATGGAATGGGACCCAGCTGTCTCCAGTGTCACCCAGACGTCCCCACGGGATGGGATTGAGGTGTCACCCAGATGTCCCCATGGGATGGGACCCAGATGTCCCCAGTGTCACCCAGAAGCCCATGTCATCGAGGTGTCACCCAGATGTCCCCAATGTCACCCAGACGTCCCCATGAGATGGGACCCAGATGTGCCCAAGGGATGGGACCCAAATGTCCCCAGTGTCACCCAGATGCCCATATGTCATCGAGGTGTCACCCAAACGACCCCAGTGTCACCCAGGCGTCTACATGGGATGGGAGCCAGACGTCCCCAGGGGATGTGACCCAGACGCCCCTGGTGTCACCCAGACGTCCCTATCGGATGTGACCCAGGTGTCCCCAGTGTCACCCAGACGTCCCTATCGGATGTGACCCAGGTGTCCCCAGTGTCACCCAGACGTCCCTATTGGATGTGACCCAGACGTCCTTGGTGTCACCCCGGTGTCCCCATGGGATGTGACCCAGACGCCCCCAGTGTCACCCAGACGTCCCTATCGGATGTGACCCAGGTGTCCCCAGTGTCACCCAGACGTCCCTATCGGATGTGACCCAGACGTCCCCAGTGTCACCCAGACATGCCCAAGGGATGTGACCCAGACGTCCTTGGTGTCACCCCGGTGTCCCCATAGGATGTGACCCAGACGCCCCCGGTGTCCCCAGCCGCCCCCATGGGATGTGACCCAGACGTGACCAAGGGATGTGACCCAGACGTTCCTATCAGATGTGACCCAGACGTCCTTGGTGTCACCCAGACGTCCCCATGGGATGTGATCCCGATGTCCCCATGGGATGTGACCCAGACGTCCCCAAGGGATGTGACCCAGACGTCCTTGGTGTCACCCAGACGTCCCCATGGGATGTGACCCAGATGTCCTTGGTGTCACCCAGACGTCCCCATGGGATGTGACCCAGACGCCCCCGGTGCCCCCAGCCGCCCCCACGCCGCAGCCCCCCAGGCCGTCCCCAAAGCCTCCCCTTCCCCCCGCCGCCCCCCAGCCCCCCTCACGCCGCCTCCCTCTGCCCCTCGGCCCCCCAGCCGCCCCCCGCCCCCCTCCGGCCCCCCGGGGGCTGCGCGCCCAGCTGTGCGGCGGCGCGGTGCCTGCGCTCGCAGTGCGCCTTGTGGCGCACAAAGCTGTCCCGCCACATGAACTTCTTGGCGCAGACGTCGCACTGGTAGGGCTTGAGGCCGGTGTGGGTCTTCATGTGCTCCGTCAGGTGGTGCTTCATCTTGAACTTCTTGCTGCACACGGGGCAGGCGAAGGGCCGCAGGTTGAGGTGCATGTTGACGTGGCGGTCGCGCATGCTCTTGTGGGAGAAGGCCTTCCCGCAGTGGCACATGAAGATCTTGTTGCCGTCAGGGGCCGCCGGCAGCCGCACGGCGCCGTGCTCCGCCCCGGCCTGGGGGGGGAAGACCAGGATCTGGTTGCCCTGCATGTCCATGGGGAGCAGCGGGCGGGGCGGGGGGCCGGGGGCCTCGGGGGGCTCCTCCAGGCCGCCGTAAGGGGACGGGAAATCCTCGGAGGACTCGCAGAAGTCGACCTGCTCGTCCTCCTCCTCCTCCGCCTTGGGCGGCCGGGGGGGCAGCGGGTCTTCGTCCTCCTCGCAGGTGAGGACCAGGTCCTCCTGCAGCCACTCCTGCTTGACGTAGACCCACTGCTTGTGGGGCACGATGCTGGGCCGCACGTACAGCGGCCGGCGGCCGGCCTCTTCCTCGTCCTCCTCCTCCTCCTCCTCCTCCGCATCCAGAGCGTCCGCGGAGCCCTTGGAGGCCGCCCCGTCGCGGGGCCGGGGGGGCTGGGGGCCGGCGGTGCCGGCGGCCCTGGGGGGCTCCTCGGGGGTCTGGCGGGGGCTGAAGTAATTGGAGCTGCTGGGGGACTGGTTGTCGCTGGTGCGGCTGGAGTGGGGGCGCAGCGACGACGACGCTGGGCCCACGGAGGACGACGCCGGGCCCACGGACGACGCCAGACCCACGGACGACGCCAGACCCACGGACGATGACAGCCCCAGCCCCAGCGACGCCGAGACGGATGGCGACGGCCCCATCCCCATCGGCGACGGCCCCATGGATGACGACGCCGGCCCTACCGACGACGCCAGCCCCATTGACGACGCCGGCCCCATGGATGCCAACGACCCCATCCCCAGCGACGACGACGACGACGCCGCCCCCACGGCCACGCGGCCCTCCTTGAGCAGCTCGGTGCACTTATCCACGATGTGCCACATCTGCAGGACGCTGCCCACCGTCAGGAAGTTGACGATCTCCTCGGGCGCCATGGACAGCCGGCCCGTGTAGGCCGAGCCCAGCACCGTCTCGAAGGCCGCGGGGTCCATGACGTTGGGGAGGACGATGGAGGTCATGTTCTTCAGCAGCACCTGGTCGTGGAAGTAGGGAGAGGAGGCGGCCAGCACGGCGCGGTGGGCGCGGAAGACGCGGCCCTGCACGTGGATGGAGATGTCGCACAGCTTCCCTTCCACGCGCTGCTGGTTCAGGTTGGCCAGGAGGGCGCTGGTGATCTCGGGGAAATCCACGTGCAGGAGCCCCGAATCGCCGCCGTCGTGGCGGTGGTGGTGGTGGTGGTGATGGTGGTGGTGGGGACCGTCGTGGCTGCCGTCGTGGTCGCCGCCATGGCTGTCGTGGCCGCTGCCGTCGTGGCCGCCGTCGCCGCACGCCGCCTCCATGGCGCTGCCCTCCCTCCCCTGGCAGCGCTGCTGCTGAGGGCCGGGTGTCAGCGCTGCCCCACAGCCCTGCCCCACAGCCCTGCCCCATAGCACTGCCCCATAAAGCTGCCCCACAGCCCTGCCCCATAGTGCTGCCCCATAGAGTTGCCCCATAGCTCTGCCCCATAGCTCTGCCCCACAGCCCTGCCCCATAGCACTTAACACCGATCCCCACCCCTATATGGTGCCCCATATCCCCCAGTCCTATAGTG